TAATTTGATATTCGTAACGATAATGGATCATTCTTTTAAATAAGTCTTGTGGTGCATCACCTAATAAACAATTGCGAGCACCTATCCATTGATTAATCCCTGCTTCCAACGATCCATTATTTATTACTCTGCAATAACCAAAGTACGTTGGTACATACTATTAGTGGAAAGGGTATATATGCATTGTCAAGGTTTTTCACTTCTCAAACGTGCATTATATAAATTAGTGGCATCGGTATCTCATTGTAAAAAAAAAAAAAAAATGATGACATTAGGAAATTTTACAAGTTTCGTAAAAATTGAAAATTTCCAGAATTGAAGTTTGAAAATAAATTACTCTCTTTTGTACAGATAGATTATATAAAAAGCACATTAAATTGACTTCATCCAGAAGATTAGGATTTTTTCTTTTCAAAAATTATCGAAGGTGCAGTCTATCTAATAATTGAGTGCAAATTCGAGTTCTGGGTTACTTGTCTAATCACTTTTCACGAGATCCAAGTTCTGAATGTTTAATACAATGTTTTGTACAGTGCCGACAGTCATTTTAAAACTATTCGTTTAACTAACATCAGAACCATTAGAACGTAAGTACTATAAAATCAATTTTTTTTTTTTTTTTTATGGTTTAAAAGTCTTAGCGAAATACTTTTTGTTATTATGTTGTAGATATGGTTTATATAAAACATTGTTCCGGAAGTGTGTATAAAAGAAATATGCGGACTTCGCAATTCCATTAAGTCGTTTATATTTACATTATAATAATAAATATATAATCTGTTATCTATAGCTCGACCTTTTTTTTTATTTATTATAATAACAGTAATAGGAACAAAACTACGAAGAAATTTTTATATTAAAAATCAAAATATGCACGAGTGAAAGTAATATTTTAGGTCAGAGTGAAACCCACACCAAATTTTAGTAAAAGTGAAATCCGCGGGTTTCACCTGTCATAATAATTTTATTGACCAATCCTAACATATTTCCATCTTTTTATCATTATCGATAATTTTATTGTCCAATCTTGCATAGTTTTGATCAGAGTGTTCAACTATTTCTAGCGCCTAAAATAGCAATAGCGATATCAAGAAAAGCTAAATTCGATAAAATTTTTCTTATTTTATTCTATGAACATAGCGATAAAATTAAAATAAAACAATTCTGGTCGAATTCGATTAATTATATTTTATAAACCTTCATCCTATTCTTGCAACAATAAAATATAATACCCGAAAAGAAAGGCTTGCAGAAACTGAAGTTACAGTAGATCTTTTAGAAAATGTGTTATCGAATACATTTTAATTGTAAAGCGATAACTAAAGAGATCGATAAAATCACCAATATTTCTTTAACATAAATACATTTCGGTTTCTTGAAATAAGTTTTTTCTGGAAACATAACAGACGTAATTTTAATTTAATTTCTTATTTTAAATTTTCACAATTGCCGAATATTCAGATAGTTGTTCTTTTATTGAAATTATTGCAGGGATATAGGTCCGGTCCTAATGAGATCCGATTCACAGCTGTTATCATAATTTCTAGAACACCTGAAAAAATTAGCCGAATGATTTTTCAGCCAATTCGACCAAGTTAGTAACTTCGGCATAACGATAATAAAACGACACAAAAATAGTGCCTTAAGGAGGTTTATCTGATTCATTGCGAATTTATTATGCATAGAACGATGGGATAAAGTTACAAAAAGTTTTGAGATAAAAAGACTGCAGAAAATGCGACCAACTTGAAAGTAATCAAAAGGTAGTTTTCGACTATTTCTTTATGTGATTGACTATTTTGCATGCTAATTTCGGACATCCTAAGCGCACACACCCCATAACGATAAGAAAGCGTTTCTGAGTATAGCACGAGTTGCCGTCAGGAATGCGGATCATGTGAAGCGTAAGGTGCGTTTTACGGTTAAAAATGACAGACATTACGACAAGAACGGTTCGTTATACCCCGGCGTCGGTGGCAATCACCTCGCTGACAGTCATATTTAACCGTATTGGTTTAGCATATATATTTGTATTGTTACTTATGTGACGTCGGTTAGATGACCTCATAGACTTTGCTCAAAAGATAAAATATTAAGGTTGTCTGCCGTAATAGGTTTTTCGAAGTTGCAATTTTTTAACCGTAATATGTGTAATAGTCGTAAGAGATATAATGATTATAATGGGTGTAATGATTGTAATGGATGTAATGGATTATGCTAATAAGTGCTAAACCAGAGATTTCAGTGATATTGTAATTGAGAACTCTGATAATACCAAATTTTAAATATTGATCACATTTACCCGCTTTACGTGTATCCATCTATTCTCTAAATATTAAATTCTTTTGGTGTATCTATTAGTCTATACTGTAAGCTTCTTTATATGAAGTTTTTTTTCGTATCGGTATCAGATGAAATTATGTAATTTGATTGGTTAATTATCACGGGCAATCACCGGTAGATTTATACATAATTGATTATCATTATTTTTGCACCAGAACATATTTTAAATCGGGAATGCAACGAACACTTGCGGTGTTATCACGATCTGCGTGGAAAGGTATTTCTTAGAATTAAACTAAGTGAATTATAATTATGTAATGTTGAATTTGCATTGTTTTATCAATATAATAGGTCCATTTTTTGTAAGGTTTCCCGAATTTCGTCAAGCTCAAACTACTGGACAACCCATAAAAACCACAGCTCGCTCATGTACAATATTACCAATATTTGTAGGGTTGAAATTTTTGGTGCATAATGGCAAAGATTATATACCAGTTACGATCACTGAAGAAATGGTTGGACATAAACTGGGTGAATTCTCACCGACTAGAAAGAAGTTTACGTTTAGGAAAACGAAAAACAAGTAATTTGAGGACAATATAGCTTTGGCTGAAAGTGATGGAAAATAATTTGAAATAAAGAAAATTAACCCTTAATAACAATTTAACTTTTAATTAAAAAACTATTCTATAACAAACTTTAAACCCAAACAAATAAGATAGTTTTAAAACTATTTTGAGTTTTCAAAAAATTTTTTATTTCAATGATTATAATGCATCTGCAATTTTTCAACATTAATTCGGTTTTAAAGAGGTGGCTTTTACTTTCAACGTCTAAGACAAGCTTAACGAGATGGTGCCATTCATTTGAGATCCGTGCATAAATAAAATTTTTATTGTCGTCGGATGTGAGGCGACTTTAAGTTTGTTGGAAATGCTAGCAATGAAAAGAGTATACATGTGTGCCTAAATTATTTTTGAAAAAATGTATTTTCGGCAAACATTTTGGCATTGCTAAATTTTTTATATGAAACCCTCCGAAATAATTATACTATATGATATATTTTGATGAAAACAGTTTAAAAATTTCGGCAATAATTTCGGAAAATATAAAATTATTTCGGCACTATATAAGATTAATTTCGGCTACCTAAATGCCGTAATTACTTTTTTATTAAGATGAGCAATTTAGGCACACATGTATAGAAAAGAGTACGAAGAAACTCTAAAGACAGGAGTGCTGAAACTAGGAAAAAATTGGAATTTGCTTTATAAATGCTCTTGAAAGAAAGTCTCTGCCCTGTCAAAGAATTTACCGAATTTACAAAATTTACTATATAGCATGGTTTATGTGTCCGGAAATTATCGGTAACAGTGGTCTGTGCAGAATTCTGAAATCCTACCTGCTCAAGCAGAAAAGTAGAAAATCTTGAGCAGAATCCGAAAAAATTTTTAATAAATGGTCGGTAGGCAAAGAATTCACGCAAAATTCTGTTTAACTTGAGGTAAACTATTGGCGGCAAGGATGTGGAATATTGTGACAAAGTTAGTTTCTAATTTTGTTTTTATATATCATCGCAGAATCTATAAAATTTAAGGTAATTGCAACGGAATTTGTCAGTTGGAGCAAAAATCTTGGACGATAACGATAACGATAATGATTATCGTTCAGTAGATCGATTTGCTATAATAACGTGATGATGTTCTGATACTCTTGATCTACGTAATAGCATGAAGAAACTTTATTATCACGAAAATCCCAATTCTTTTTTCAAACCACGACCTCCTTATTTGAAGAGTTTATCCGAATTATCCCAATGGAAACCTGAACATGATGAATTTAACGTTGCAAAAGTTGATTTACGAGAAAGACCTACTTTCAGAAATGATGCCACACAGGAAAAGAAAGATAAAAGAGATTGTCAAGTAGTAGCCTGTCATGATATGGCTGGTGGTAAGCTCGACACCTCAAAATTCTATAAAAAAAAAAAAAAGAATACTAACTCGTGCAATTAGGCTATGTTGAGAACTTTTTCAAAATCGGATATAGCATTCAGTACTGGCAATACATAGATATTTTTATCTAGTAATTATTACCTTTTTATTTTAAAAAACAAAAAAAAAAAATTTTATAAAATTCTATAAGGAGCTACTAATATGCTCAATTTAATTATATTTTAATAAAGTTTTTCTCACCACCGAGTTACAATACCACCTCCACAATGGACTAATGCGGCCCACCGAAATGGTGTTAAAGTTCTAGGAACCTTTATTACTGAGTGGGCCAGAGATATGCTGGAAAATGAATTGTGGGTACGAGGTCCGCACACACAAGCACCGCTTGATGATTCCGAAAACGTTGATCGAAGAATTGTTAGTACTGTGTTTGCAGATAAATTGGGTTAGTTGTTAATGTATCTTATTATTATTCTAATAATTATCCATATATTAATTGATATTAATTGTGATATTATTTCTGATTAATTTTTATGTATATTAAAGTTTCAATGGCTATGTATTATAATTTTGATGGTTGGTTCATCAATATCGAATCTCCTTTGATTGGTGGTTCTCTCCACGCTCTTCAAGTTATCACTTTTATGAGCTATCTTACTCAACAAATGCATAAACATAAACCTGGATCTGTTGTTCTTTGGTTTGTTAAAGTACCTATATAAATTTGTAATGATTTTAATTCAATTTCTAATTGTTCATCTATGAAAAGGTATGATTCTATCACTAAAGAAGGAACACTTGCGTGGCAAGACCATTTGAATGATTTGAATTATCCTTTTTTTGATGTAACCGATGGAATTTTTATTAACTACACTTGGTCTGAAGAATATCCAGAATTATCAGCACAAAAGGCTGGTTCTCGAAGGCGTAATGTCTACACTGGTATTGATATTTGGGGCCGTAATACTTTTGGTGATGGCGGGTGAGTTCTTATTATAATGACGTTCGATTATTTTATATGATATAGTATTTAACTAATCTTAACTAATCTTTGGAATAATGACAATTACTTTCGATTAGATTTAATACCTATAAGGTTTCAATATTTTTTCCCTTTTTAAAATTGGTTTCCATTATTTATTTATACTTGTTTTCAAACTTTCCAATAAACTTAGGCACTTAAAGTTATTCAAAAGGCCAAAACGTCTTGCGCTTTATTTGCACCAGCCTGGACATATGAGCATTTAGGAAAAGATGCTTTCTGGGAAAACGATAAAAAATTTTGGATTGGCAATGCAGACAAATACGAGGATGTAGATTCTCAAACGGAACGAACTTCGGAAGATGAAGGTTGATTTTAATTACCATTATGACAATAAGTTGTTATTTTTAATAATCGAACAATTCTTTTGACAATTAAGGACTTGCTGTTGCACATTACATCGTGCCAAGATACTCACCAGTAAGTTTGTTTAATCTCAATTTTGATGTTGAAGTTATATATTTCTTACATTTTCTTTCATGCAGGGAATTTATAATTTTTGTACAAATTTTGACCGTGGTTGTGGGTACAAGTTCTTTATTAAGGGATTGGTAATTTTTTTGTTGATTCTATTTCATGCTCTTTTTGTTCAATAAATCATGTTACGACACTATATCATGTTTATTATTATTAGAACGTTCTGGATCAAGAGTGGGCACATCTTAGTCATCAATCCGTTCAACCCTTTCCGACAAAGCGTATTTCCGAAGTATCAAATAATGCATCAGAAATGACTATTAATAAATCCCATGACATTACATGGAACTTAACCTTTGATCAAGCATATAATGGCGGTACTTCTGTAGTTGTATACACTACTACTGTAAATGATAAAGCAAAAGCAAGAATTTACATGTTACCACTTTATGACTTGAATGTTGCCATCTCTCCACACGGGTACACAAGAGCAAGGGTTACTTATTTGCCAGAACATCGTGGAATAGTTGTAGGATTGTATTTAAAAGTAGGGTTTAATCAAAGACTTAGTGATGGCAGAAAAATCTCTTTTAACCAGGACGCAAAACCTACAAGGAAGGATTCAGAGGATCAGAAGATATCATTCATTACTTTGAACAACGAAAGTTATGTTGATGATAGACTTACCCATGAATCCAAAAATCCGAGCATTCCATTACAGAAATTCAAGACAACTACCGTGTCAATGAATCATAATTGGATAACTGCAGAAGTTTTAATACCACCTAATACATTCTCGATATCTCCAACTAGTTCGGTATTTGATTTAGTAGTGCAAGAATTGGGTGTTTCTATAAGTCACCCACCACATTTTGGAAAAGTTGACATAACTCAATCGTCAAATACATCTACCCTGGTTCATATTGGTAAATTATCTGTTAGTTCAACAACATTACCATCGCATTTACCTGAGCCAGAAGTGCAAAATGTATTTTGGCAGGATAATACTTTATTTATTGAACATTTGAGTCATCGAGGTATGTTACGAATATCAGGTATTATAGAATGGGAGATGGGTGTAAAAGTTGTTGGGCATGCCAGTGAGGATCGTCATATCACACAAGACAACACCACAGATATCGAAACCTCAAACTCTTTTGGATATTACTATGTATATGCGGAAGTTGACTCAGCATCACAAAGTGGAAAGCCTTCACTTGAAAAGTTGACATTTTTAGGGGTAGCCGATGTTTCGCAGTTTATAGTTTCAGGGCTCGAAATACCAATATCTAAAATTATGGTAGATACAATTTTAACAATCTGGGTACAAGGAGTAAGAGAATCAAACGGAGAGGGAGTGGAATATGAAAAATGGAAAAAATGTTCAATTCCGTTATTTTATTATACTACTAAAGTAGGTGGATTTTGGAAACGGATTAAAACTACCATCTTAAAGATTTTAAGAATATTTGTTCCTTGTTGTGGGCTATTTTAATTAATCAAATATGATATTATTAATTTTAAATTGTTATATAACATTAGGGACGTGTCAGATGTCAGTTAATGTCAGTGTTATAGGAAGGTGTGCAAAATTTCAACCAGATTTTGGAACCGGTTTTACTTTTCGTATGTGAAATAAAATCGGTTCCAAACTCTAATTTAATGAATTAAGTAGAAAGGAGGAGTCTTTATAGTAGGCTGATTTTAACTGATATCTGAAATGTTATTTCATGGATTTAAAGAAAACTTTAGATATAGTGTATTTATAAGAACTAGTTGATAATTCGTTGTTTAACACAATAGTATACAAACTTAAAAATTTTGTTTGCAAAAAATTTAATTTTGGAACTATTAGATTTTTTTTTATTTAAACTTTTAAATAAAGTTATTTGGTTAAAAATATGATATTTAGAATTGCGTAAATTTTGGTTTACAAATTTATATAATTTAAAAATCGCAGCAGATTTAATAAAAATAGATTATGGTGTTTCAAGTTCATAAGATTATTCTTTTTGATGAAATACCGAAATCTAAAATCATCCAGATTTTTGCAATAATGCGAATAAATAATTTTAACTTCTCTTAATACTCTTGTGAACCGGGTAATTGTCAAATGCAACTACGTAATGGTCAAGCGATTACTTATACCAAATATCTGCCTAAAACTATTCTTTTATCATCTAACCACGTTGCTGAAATGACTAAAAACACAATTTTGAACGATATCCAGTTTATTAAAAGGAATCCACTAGTATTCAGCGGCTTTAAGTAGATTTCTGATAAATCTTTATTTCCATTCGTTCGACCTTGTTGTGTTATATTTGTTGTAATTCGCACTTTCTGTATTTGAATTGAAGGGACTAGGAATAACGGGAAATTTTTATCCTTTTTTCAACTCCAATTCTAGTTGCCAATCGCTATGCTAATAATTTTGATGATAAATAAACAACTCATTTTTATCTTTTCGACTCCAATTCAAGTTGTCAATCGCTAGTACTTCCTATTTCTGTCGATTTTTGATGATAGTTGAACGTCTTATTCTCATCTTTTTCAACTCCAATTCCAATTGCCGATCGCTAGTGCTTCCTATCTTTACCCTTTATTCTCATACTTTTCATCACATATTCCACTAGTGCATTTATCACTGCAAATTTTTTGATAATAAATGAACGCCTTATATTCTTCTTTTCGATTCCAATTTTATCTTCATAATAGTTGCTATTTCACTAGCGATTCCCACATCTGTTAATTTTTGATCATAAACGAGTAAGTTACATCCAATCACTAACAAATAGATTCAATAATTACACCAATCCCTAATACAAATGCTGCGAAATTTAAAGAAATCACCGCAAAACGACATACCACCCTAAGATTAAACAAATTGTCGCCAGTCACGAGAAACGTTCACATTTTCACCAATCATGTTAGTTATGTGCAAATTTAAGTCTCATGACTATGAGAAAAGACAGAATGGATCGTATTCGACGGGAAATCTGCAATTACGAACAAATTGGTTATTTTCAATATTAATTCAATTGCGTAATTGTGAAGTACCCTTCCGAACAATAGCCATGCGCTAATTCATAATCGTATTTCTTTGGGATTCTGAAAAAGTATTTTTGGTATACCGAGATGTTTTGAGAATTCATCGTACAAAATCGAAAGTCAAAAGTCGATCGAAGGCCAAGTCTTACCGAAAATCGAAAAGTTCTACCGAAAATCAGATGCTTTATTAAGCAAGACTAAGGATATTAGGTCTAGAAAATAGGTAGGAAAAAAAACTCCCTTACAATAAAATTATCGTCCGCTGTGAGAGCCCCGTACATTTTTACCAATTATTTGGTCATGTGCAAATAAGTCTCATGGACGAAATGATTTCGCAATGATGAAATTGACGAAATTATAAGTGACGAAATAATTATTTCGTCATACTTCATCACCCATCACTAGTCTCATGGCTATAAGAAACTCATTTTACGGGAAATCTGCAATTAAGACATAATTATAAAATCAGTATGACTGTGAATTTTTGATTATTTGCAAAATAATGTATCTCTGATTAAATTTGCGGATATCCGATTGCATAGCTGTGAAGAACACTTCTGAACAATAACTATGCACCGGTATGGTATAAAGCCACCGTGGAATCGAGTAGAAAATCATCCAGATATATCGTAAAACCCAAACAAATCCACTACTAACAATGTAATAAAACCGCGTAATGTTATAGAAAATCTAAAAGATGTTAATTAATAAGTAGTGCTAAACGAGAAACAACGAAATCGAGGTCTATACTTACCAAAGAACAGTGACATCTGCGAACGACGATAATAACAAAGACAAAAAACTGATTAATATTGTATTTAAATAAAAAAAAAAAAAAAGTTTAAGCAAAAAAAAAAACTTATCTTTATTTCTTTAATAAAGTTTCTTAAGCTGATCTTAGCCGAATTTTTTAAAATTCGTTCACCCGATCACCACATTGAGGTGTCAGCAATCGACCGGGGAAAACAAAGTTGTATAAGAAAACACTAGGTTGGACGAGACATAACCTCTATAAACCCAGAAATTTTCCTATATGTAACTAGCACTTGATTATTGCATCTACCACCGGTTTCTAACGTTTACTCTGAAAGAAACTCAGTTCTAAAGATCTCAGCAGCAAAAAAATAAATTTTCTGTACAAAGGTGGAGCCTTAAATTAAATCCTCAGATTTACATCTTTGTCAGAGCACCCGCTCGTCTAGTCGGGTGATTAACGTCGAATACTGGATTTATATCTATACCAGAGCACCCGCTCGTCTAGTCGGGTGGTTAATATAGAACACAAAGGATTTAACCCAGTTTAACAGATTTTACATTTTCACCAGAGCACCCGCTCGTCTAGTCGGGTGGTTAGATCCAAATACTGAAAAACCGGTAAAGACAGCCTTTGTCACTAAGGGTTAGGGTTAAAGTTTATAGATACAACGTCAAGGCTAGGCACGTTCAATATTGAAGGGATGGTAAATATGTAAATGTAAAAAAGCTGTTTTTATAGATGATCATACATTTTTACGAACGCGATAATCAGCCAATCATAGCACACCAATAATGGCGCGGGTTACGTAATTTGGGACCAGTTAATCTGATTGGCTAGTCAAAACGTGATTATTGATCGACCAAAATTTATAATATGATATTGATATAGACACATACCGTAAATTGCCGCATAAACCACCTCCTTTATAGAAGACCCCCTTCTAGCAGACCCGGGTCTGTTACTGGGTTTAGTGAAAGGTAAAAAGTATAAGACCCGGGTCTATTATGTGGTCACGTATTATATATCCGTCATAGAATTGCTTGATTTTAATTGGTAAATAATCTTTTACCGCATAACAGGCGCGCAACAGATTCATTGAAAATCCAAGCATGCTTGACCAATCAAAATTAGCATACATGTAAACAAACAGGTTTAGCATTTTTTTTAAAAATGAATATGTAGAATTAAAATAAAATAAAAAATTCATCGAATTTTGTCAGATAGTTATCGAGAAACTTCGCTTAATTTTAGAAAGAACTGATTCGTCTATCAGTAAATTAAGTGTTTCTAAATTTTTTAAAACTTTGAGAGAAGTTTTCTCGATAACTTCCTAACCAAATTGAATGAAATTTTTTTTATTTATTTCTCCACATTCGTATAATTAAAATAAAAAATTTTTAGGAATTCGGTCAGAAAAACTTCGCTCAAAGTTTTAAAAATTCAACAGTACTTAAATTACTAAGGCTACACAAAGATGATTTTTCGTTTTACATTAAATGACATTCGAAATTTCGATCAGGGTCGGATTTTATTATTATTATTATTACTATTATTAATAGACTGCATTTTCATGTAGTAAAGTCTTTAATTTCTAAGGATTTCTTGAAAAAGCATTTTACTTGTTCAGATAATTTCAAGTTCATTAACTTTTAAATCAGTTAAATCATAAGGCATTATAAAACTATATTGAATTTAAACCTATCGGTAACTTAACAAATATAAGAATGACTTGTAACTGTAATGGCTATGTACTAATCCGTTATCCATTTTAAAATTTGAAATTAGTGTGTATTAATAATAAACTTTCAAAACCTTCATTCCTTTCGGAAATAATACAAATTCAATTGATAAAAATCGGCCAAAAATGTGGACATTTAAAACGGAGGCACACATATTTCTTAATAATGTTCTCGATTTAGGGTTAGGGTCATCCTATATTAGTGTTAGTATAGATTTTAGGTAGTTATATATAAGCAAAATTGCCTTCCCGACATTTTTGATTAACCTACCCGAGGTAGGTTTAGACTGCCATTTTTTGTATTTTTCGGGTTTTTGGTTTTTATTTTTTATTTTGCTTCGCCGGTGATCATTAAAATTCTATAATTTGATTGACGGTTGATCACATGATTTGCCTCCATGGAAATGCTAATAGCGATAGAATTATTTATCTTTATGTTAAAGATTTCTATCAGTATGAAACTAGAAAAGACATTCCTAGAATAGACCCGGAATTTACATATTTATCGTCAAACTGTAATTTAAGAAAATTTATTTGTGCATGGTGTCCAGTAAATTTAGATCTAATTAGAAGAGATAATCATATAGATTCATTGTTGTTGATCATACAAGCAAAAACCGATTTACCGTAGTGCACTGATCAAAGTACCCGGTGTCCAATACAATCAAAACTTATAAAGTACCCCGTGGGTATCTTGATCGATGACGGGGTACGCAAAAAGGGGGGTACTTTGGTCAGTGCATTACGGCGGTGTAACTGATAATATTCAAAAAAAAAAAGATCTGGAAATTGTTCACTCCATACATTCTCTGCGAATGATCGTCTATCGTGTGATAATATTTCGACAATTTTGCTATTTATAGCATTCGTTTAAACCAAAATGAAGAATACGGAAAAAAATTGTTGCACATTATTTTTCCGAATCTTCTTTGTGATTACTGTAGTATTAGGCATTATTATGTATTATTGATGGCCAAGTGCAATTTTCACATAAACACGATTACATCAAAATAGAGCCATTAGATTTTAATGTGAATGATAAAAAATTAGAACTTTTTTTGTTTAAAAAATTAATATGAAGGGATTATTTAACTGTGTTAATATGATAATAAATGACGATAATACTGAGATGGATGATGCTAAAATTTGGTGTCTTGATTTGAAATATGACCCCTATTAAAATCCACATTTAATCTTTATACCCTTTTTTTATGCAAATAAGTTATAATGCGTTAAATAAATTACAAATTTTACATACGTACATTACTATATTAGATTCAACCAATTAGATTTCATAAAGGGTAACATTCCAAAATGTTTCGATATTGTACTATTTTTCTGAATTAGAATCTAGTAATTCTTGTATGTCTTTATATTTTGATTAAATAACTATTGATTTTTTTTGGAATTAAATTCATTAAAACGAATAAAATAAATATCATTATTTTTGTTTAAAAAAAAATTCAAGTTTTTGAAAAATTCGGGTCGACAGGTAATGCAAAACGGAAAATTGACTTTCACCTAATAGGCGGGACAGATTTCTCCTAAACTTATGCAAGTTTTCTTGACAACCACCTAACAAAATTCAATAAAATTATAACACAATGTATAGAATTAAAATAAACCAAAAATCATGTAATCTGATTAGAAACTTATCGAGAATACTTCTCTCAAAGTTTAAAGAAAAATTAGTTTACTAATAGAAGGGACAAATTCTTTATAAACTTTAAGCAAAGTTTTTCGATAACTACCTAACCAAATTCGATGAATTGTTTTTTTACTTTAATTATACAAATTCATAGAATTAAAGTAAAAAAAAAAAAAAACATTGAATTTAGTCAGGTAATTATCGAGAAAACTTCAAAAATTTAAAAAAATTTAGCTCAATTTACTGATAGACAGAACAAGTTATTTCTTTTAGCGAAGTTTTCCTGACAGCTACTTGCCCAAATTAAATGATTTTTTTTATTTTAATTCTATGAATTTATAGAATTAAAATAAAAAAAAACTTATCGAATTTAGTCAGGTAGTGAGAAATTTTGCTCAAAGTTTTAAAAAAAAATCAATTTACTGATAAACAGAACAGATGGTTTTTAAACTTTTCTCGATAACCATCAGACAAAATTTGATAAAAGTTTTTTTATCTTAAGTGTATGAATGTGTAGAATTAAAAAAAGTTTATAGAATTTTACCAAGTAGTTATTAAGAAAACTTCGTTAAGGTTTTAAAAAAAAATGCAAAAATTGTTTACGTGTATGTTGGCCCTTGATTGCTTAGAACATCAATGAACATTGCGTAATCTGTTGCGCACTCCACACGATACGTTGTGACGGTATAACGCCGAAAACTAATCTAACAGGGGTCGCTACTAAACAAAAACCTAAATTTAATAAAATTCTCAATTTATGGTACGCTTCGATTCAGGCGTGGATTGATTTGGTCCGAGAATAGGGTGTTTTACGATTACTGCGGTGATCACGGGGACAAGACAATATGACATACAAAATTCAATAACGTTACAATCAAAGAACACTCAAAGGGGACTACTAATACTAACTCATTCGATTTTCATAGTGACGAAATTGACGAAATACTTATTTCGTCAAATTTCGTCACTTGAAAGGGTAGGTTGAGCTGCGCTGTTTTATTCATATTTGTTTTTACAGCGTTTAAATACATTTCTCTTTTACTAATAGGCTTTACACTTTTCTACCGAATCTACGATATATGCCCCTTTCGTCAGACTCTCCTACGTACCATATCCGGCATATTTGTCGTATGTTAGCCACATCTGCCATTTTTGCCATCAGATTTCTATCGGTTTTTGGTTAGATCGACCCGAACCACTTTCGCATCGAAATTTCCCTCTCACAACGTACGTACGTACGTACTTATTTGCACGAGTAATATAAACCCGTAAAAAGAATATGACCAATCGGAGTGACAAAATTTGACTGTTACGCATCAGCCCTCATAGGAAGAAATTCATATGATTGGCTAATTTTTATGGATCTACATGTGATCACCCGTGATAATTAACCAATCA